CACATTCCCTAACAATGAACTTCTATTAGGACGAATCGGAGGTGAGACACTCAGGTCAATGAAGGATCACTCTCCAGAGTTGTCGCAGTATCTGTAGCAGCAGAATCCATTTCTTCAACTTCTCCAAGTCTAGATGATCGATTAATATCTAAAGAGATAAGGCGATAGATAAGAGACTGCTTCATCTTCGCTACTGTTCCTATCATTCCACTGCCTCCCATCTCACCACTTAAGACATCTGCTATTAGGCACGACCAGATGGGAAGTCATTCAGCTAAAGAGCTACTGCCGCTGGGGTAGGCCTAAGAAATGGGAAGAATTAGACTGCAAGCGGATGATTATCGCTCGCAGAAACGGTTACGTGAAATAAAAGCTACTTTCTTTAAAATCATCAGTACTATTTATATATCAGAATTATTTACCGGAGAGAATGACCGCTCACATAAGGCAGATTTGTAAGGTTTGTTATCGGACCAAGTTGATAGAACTAAGGAGGGGAGTGCACGAAGAAAGAATGTCATTTTGCGGTTCTTTTAAGAGAGCAGCGTAACATAAACAGCTATATCTGAAAGGCACATAGTACATCAGTCATAACGCTGCAGCTGCATTATTTTCTCATTTTATTACTGGCCACGCTCGGCTCCATTGGCTACAACATGACTACATTGGATTCGAACCTAGAACATTAAGCTGAGCGGCCAGAAGGAAGTATAAATGCAAACTTAATAGTCTGATGTTACATGCAATGGAAGCATGCAGTCTGTGAAGGGGTTTGAGACTGCTGAGGGCGGTGTAGAAGAGTACAGACTAACTAAAGACAGATTTCACAGGTGTATTGTATTTTTTCTGGAAAACTTTGTATGATCCGGTGTCCTATCTACGTGTTTTGCTTTTTTCTAATGCTTCACTGTTTTGACTACTTCTTAGTTTGTTTACTGAAGAGGCAATTTTATACCTACATTCTATCATAATTTTTGATACTGATGGCCACTTCTTTACTAGTCTCCTTTTCTACGAGTTTACTTCTGTTGTTGACAAACTACAATGAATCACATAAGGCCCAACTAACAAGTTTCCTTCCAACAGCCGACTCTGATCATTCTCACAACCACATGTTTGGTAATAGCCAGCACTGCGTTTTGACTTTTTGATTTTTTTTTCACAAATACCGTTCTCACTTGGCTCACGAACTTGATGAAAAAAAGTTCATTTCAGCGGGATCAGATCATCTGTTTACATCTTTACGACGTGGTGTGTTGCGGTCTATATTGGATCCACAATATGATCCGAACAGAATGCTGGCTCGATATTAATTAGTCAGTCGGTTATGTAACTGACATTACGCCAGTATTCCTTTGGATCATACCGGATGGGTCGCCCGGCTTACGCCGGGCTTCATTCCATCTGTGAAGAATATTTAGAAAATGATGTAGTCACGAAGATGGGGGTGGATGCTCCCCTTCTATTCAACGATGAGGACTTGAGTGCGAAGAATGATGGGTAGCCGACTTTAAAGCTAGGATGGGGTGTGAGATGAATAGTTTATAATATGATAGTACACCTCCCCCAAAGCCTCTTCCCTCCTGAAGCTCAAGACTAAAAAAAGTATGATCTCGGCTCAGAAACGTTCCCGGGCACGATTATGGGCTGACCCCCTTATCTCTATGTAGCGCTCAATCTTGAAAAAAAAGCGAATTTTCCCGACTACATTATTACCTTCGATTTTTGAATAGACACACATAGCACGATGCTAAACAGAAAGAAATCATAGTTTAGAAGCACCCACTTTACTCCATTACTCACCTCACTCTGCAGTATTCACTCTACTCCATTGACCAACCTACCACCAAGTTACAGCTTTATATAAAAAGGAAATGTTAGAGCTAGACTTTCCATATCAGTACCTTTACCAGCTAACCGACAAACCGACGAACCGACACACCAACTTTCTGCTTTATAAGTAAGAGGAAATGTGCATCCCGTAAGGACCACATCCTTTCCATTCATTCTCTTGAAGGTGCTTTTCTATCCCAACTTTTCAAGGAGTACGTTCCTTTTATCAGGAAACCCATCACAAAGTCTGTTTTGGCAATGCTAGTCAGGTAATAATGTCGGTGAGCATGCATACACGCATCGCTGATTCCACTTTGGAGGAACAGCATAAAAAGGAATGTAGACTACATTCATCGATACATCCCTTGCGTATCGAATATTACAAAATACATCTTGTACAGCCCAACTGCAAAAATTATGGGGAAGGAAAAGATCGCTGTAGGTCGAGGCAGGAGCACCAAGAAAGTAAATACATTGAATGACCTACCAATCAAGATCAGATTCTTTCCCTTCGTGAATGTCAGAAACTGTTCTACTACATATATGAAGGAACCTATATTTCTCGGTCGCTTAAATTTCTATGACCATTCTTTTTTTTTTATTGAAGAAGGTGTCACTTGTTGTATAGAGCTCGCTCATATTTCTCAACTATGATTTTTTGGTTCATTTTTTTGGACCAGTATAGTTCTGACATTGCCTTCTGATTTTTTGAAAGGGCTTGTGTCGTATCTTGAGAAAGCATATTCTTCTCTCACTTCACTTGAAAGCTTTTTGATCGACAATCATTTGAGCCGGCCTATACCTTGACTCGATAACAGCAATTTGAAGTTTTTGTTACGGCAATGATAACACAATCTTACCAGCTCGTTCCTTTGATGCCCTTGCACTGGATGTGCACTTTTCGATGGCTTCAAATTACTTTAAAATTTGTTATTAAACCGATGAAAGCTACTTCTGAGCAGTTGCGCCTTTTTATGAGGGTCTGCTGGCTTTTGCATGCTTTGTAGCGTGTCGACCAGACATCGAGAAGTTACGTCGTTTTTGGCACGAAAAGTGAAATGGCCATTTTTTACAAGATCGTTATTTACGCGACTCATTTTTGTTATTCGAGCCCTTTTTTTATGCACACTCACTTTGTTTTCTCAGATTTCAATGTACCTTCGCACTTCACGTGATTGCTTGCTGCGTGAATTCATGCTTACTCGCCCTATTTGCATTTGGTCAAAAAAGAAGAATTCTCATCAGTTTCATTTGCCCTCAGTATTCCAGGCTATAGTCTTTGCTTCAGTGAGGCTTGATACGTTATATATTACACCAACATTCATGGAAGTTCATTGAAGTCATCGCGTGGGAACCAGTGACGTCTTCGTTCGTCCCTGTCGCAAGGGCATGAAAAGACCAGTGGATCGCGCTCGCTCGAGATACGCGAGGCGTTCTATTTTTTTCGCTTACAGTTTCCGTGGAGGAGACCATGGCGATGGCCCCCGTCCTGGATTAGGTTCGAGGTTTCGAGGGATCCAGTCAATAACCGTTTTGGTCCAACAGTCGTCAAGAAATCACGTGACATGTCCGACGTACCTCATCTTCGATTCCTTGGCGTTAGCAATGGCGGACGGATCTTTGTTCGATGGAGAGCTCGGTACGCCAGATCACCCTCTGCACCTACGCGTATCTGAGGATTCCGAGCATTGATCTTTCAACAGCGCATGAAATGCGCTGATGTCAATGGTCAGTAGGGAATATACACTGTTTTTTGTAATTCAAACCAATCCCATTTACTAATCGTAATTTGATAGGCGGTGGTGTTGTGGCAAGTGGCGCACTATCTCACAGCACGATCGCGGGTTCGAGTCCCCGGTCGATATCCGCTTGAGCCAAACAAGTCTTCCATCCCTACGGGGCCAGTTAATTGGTACCAGATGCTTGGGAGGCTAAAAGCACTGACTTGTACAGCTGGCTACCGCAAGTCATTGTGTAGGCCACATACGCATTCACTACGCCACTACGATTCTGAATATAAGTCGAATGCGGGGGCGCGTTCCTAGAAGGGACTGATTAACGCCGAAAGACGTAAGACCTAGACGTTATCTACTCATCCCCAATTGCCCATGATGCTCTCGAAATCCGCACTGAAAAGCTAGGGGTAAAATTTTATTGCTCTGCCCCCTTCGTAGAAGGCCATATCCTGATGTTCAGTTGTTATAGAGCTCACGAAGATTCCTCACATACTGAGTAGGAACACCAAGTTTGTTCATACCTTCTGTCTTGACTGAATAGAAGACTCTCTTCCAGTCGATCAACATCAGACATAGCGGCATTCGGTATCCTCGAGATACTTCAATAACTCCTGTTAGAGTGTCACATGGATGCCTTTACTCTAATATTCTGCCAGTCCCGTTAAAAGTGAATCGCTCGGAAATTCTATAGATAAAAGCAGCATCCTGTTTATGTGATAGTTGCACATATCGTCCGGACCTTCCTTTTTGTAGAGTCTTGCTAGTTTACCACTGCTTCCATAGACATACATAGTTCACGATTCTTCTCAGTCTCAGTGGCTCTTTGGCTAGAACTGCAGCCCTTCTATTTCTCATTCTTATCAGCCAAGACTTACAAGATCGGAAGTTAGTTGTCGTTGCCTTCAACGCTGGTATACCAGCACGAAAGCGCTCAGAGAGCGTTGTCTGTTGAATCTTACTTTCCTGTCACTATAGTAAGATGTTCGACGGGTGAATTGGATTTTTCATCGAGTTCTCGGAAAATGGGTCTTCCCGTAAGTTTGCAAGGGTTCGAAGTGATCAGAGCGGGCGACGGTTTTGAGGTTTCGTTTTCTGAACGACGCAGTTATCTCTCAACGCATTAAAAAAGAGAATCTACCGCAGAGGAAGCGGTGGTGCGACGTAGAGCATCGGAACGACAGCGACCTGGTCACGCTTCGGAACTTCCGGATTTTCTGTGCCCATAATGTCATGAAAAAAGATCTTAGACTTGCGGTGTCTATTGCTGGAAAACACGAAAAATGATGTAAGAATCGCTTGGCAAGTGAAGTTGGGAATTTTATTTTGACCAGTTGCAAATTGGGCCACCTCATTACCGCTGTTCTCTTCTCCTCACTTCAGGCATTGCCTTATTCGTATTTATTATGATAAAGACTTGTATTGAGGTCCAAGATGCGGATTCTGGGTGCATCACATGCCTTAAGGCGATTGTGCCTCTACTCACGGCGAGGCTACGCTGCCGCCGTCCCACAGAGAGAGTTTAAAAAGGTACGGGTATCCAACCTGCTCTCATTGATTCTATCACCATGATTTGTGTACTGTATTATATAGTGTACATATTGTTTTCCACTCTTACACTTCTCCAGATTAGAACTTCAGCTCAGGCATTTGTAAAATTTCTGATTCATTATAAGCAATGGTAAACAAAATATGTAGTCAAGGGAAGATCTCAGGGACAATAAGTGTGGTGAAAATAAGTTGAAAAACGCAGATATAAGGGAAGGAAAATAAGTCAAGCTCTCATCACAGTTACGGGGTGTATCAAAGTGGGCGGAGATAGAAGAAAAGTTTTTTGTTCTGCTCCAAAGATCCTAGCGAGTGAAAAAGTGTATAGCGCTTAGGGAAGAAGGACATCAAACCTTGGCCACGAGCAGGTTAGATACATATTAGGATAGCCGTGGCTACGACCAGAGTTCTGTAATCTCATTCTAACGGCTGGATAGAAGTTTAGAGAAGAGTTATCAAAGAATGGGCGGTTGACATGAAGCGGTTGGAGTATAAGCCAAGCTTTGTCGAGCACTCGTGATTAGATAAGGTTAAATATTACTCAAGATAGACAAGCCGATGTTCGCATCCTACTAGTAGTGAGTGCACAACCAGACAGTCTCACTTGCTTCATTGTCTGGATTTTTGGCGACCGCTTTGTGTCGGTAAAACTGACTTCAGTAGCCAGTTGTTGGGATCCTAACTCTGTCTGTAGTTAGGATCCTTGAGTTGTACCCAAGAAAGGAGATTCTACATGTTGTGAATTAAGAATTTCAGGTGAAAGCGAAATTTCGAAAAAAATCTTAAACTTGAGCAAAAATTTCTGAAGAAAAGCACACTTCTCTTCATGAAATATTAGTCAGTTACGTTTTTTAGGTAATGGTGGCAAATCGAGGAGAAATAGCTATCAGGGTATTTCGAGCTCTTTCCGAACTGAACATCAAATCAGTTGCAATATATAGTGAACAGGTAGGTTCTATAATACTTCAAACAACTATTCTTGGCATTTCATTTATTATACGCTGACGCAGCAATCTACGTATGCCGTTAAAGGGTCGGATATGTTACATTATGTTAAGTTCTTCAGCTGTTCAGGGCAGAGGTGGTATATTGACAATTTCCGTACTAATACACACAATTTATCCATGGTTCAAATCTCGGATCGATACTCGCCCAAGCTGACCAAGCCTTTCATTCCTCCGGGGTCGGTTAATTCGTGAAAGACTCATCTCGAATCATTATATATTCCACAAAAGCATCCAAATCACCATGGAGATTTTGAATGGAAGTCGAAAGGGAGACGCACCACAAGAAGGGTCAATTGACTTTAGGCCTTACTTTACTCTTAGTGCAGCTATTCATATTGCTCACAACGATATGGTAAATAGTAATAGTGTGATAGTCTGGATTTACTTTGCCATAAAAAGAAGTTAGAAGAGCACGACGTAGATTACCGTAGTAATGTAATGAATAGCAGGATAACCCTCGGTTCAGTGACTGTCCATTTCCAGAGTTTACCTTTTCATTTCCGAGTCCTTAACTGTGGAACACTTTCCGTTGGCTAGTGACTGACACATTATTGAACTATCGCAGCGCCGTGAATGAGTGAAATTAGGTCACTATGCTGCCTAAAGAAATGAAAGCTAGGACTAATGCCTTCTTTGTGTCTCGAATTCAGGGCAAGGACAACATAATAAAGTTTTTGGAGTCAGTCGAACCCGTTGTGGGACGCCCGCTCCCGTTCGAATTTCCTTCAGAATCCTTGGGGCATATTGAATCCGTATTTGGCTGTTTGATGACTTGTGGGCCAGCTGATGTACAGATCAGGGCTTTTTATCCTACCAGACGAATCTGGTATCATTCATCCAACCCATGAAAAACTTGGTTGATCAGGCGGATGTCGATCCAGGATTCGATCCCTCAGCTCTGCCTAGTGATAAATGAAAAACCTTACTACTGTTGAGATCCACTTCGGAGGGCGACCAGGTGAGGTCACTCCTAAATTCGTTCCCAGCTGCTGTGAAGTACCCAAAGCGATCCACTTCCGGCGTAGACAACAAATGCAGTGCCCGATGTTTGCAGGCGATATTTTCCTTCCTTGTGCTAAAGCACCTGATTTAGGGTTGCGAATGAAAAATAACTTGTTACTGATACATTCTGCACGTTCCATCATTTTTGCTTCTACAACTTTCTCGGTCAGCTCACAGCATGCATTGCTCTTGCAAATGAGCTTATCTCTCACTGAACGGGCACTATGGGATGCGTCTTGCAAAAATAGGATGCTACCTTCGATGATCGTGATACACTCGAATCCGAGTTTGCGTGATACGATTTTAGGCGTTTACTCATGGCAAATTTACAATTCACGCAGGATTACGCTCAATCGTCCTTTTTGTTCTGCCGAAAAAGATGAAACTCCAATGAATTTTTTACTCGATCGTTCGAATGGGGAACGAAACTGCCTTAGAATTTCACTATACGAAGGATAAGACTTTCTTAAGATAAGAGGGCAGTCATGTGTAGGAAGATGAAGTCTGATACCGCCAGCATTTTGTTGTGGCTTTTAAGGTTTTACTACCGTTCCAGGGACTTCGTAAATTGACCACACTCCAGGCAACAAGTCTATTTCGAACAGATTTTCAGATATGAAGTTTTCTTCCCCACGGTGCATACTCATCCACCTATATCGTTCGACGTCCCCTTGATTATCGATTTGCTAAAGCAAACATCTGTATCGCATCCACTAGTACCCTAAGTTTGCGGTTGCTCCTCAAAAGGCCCAATGATTTCAAACATTTCGTGATGAACATTGGTTGCTGACCCTATACTTCTGCCTCAAACGGTTCGGATGGTAAGCCGCTACAGCGGACATGGCACGACATTTGAAGCTCACCCGATTTTTGCTTGTTCCCCAATAATTCTATGGCTCAGGTAGTAACCCTAAACCAAAATCGTTCCAATACCATGAAGCGTGATTCGTTTATGGACAAGCAAGGGTTCCCTTCAGCAACTTATGAAGCAAAATGACCAAATGATGCAAAAATCTTTATTCACTTAAAAGTTTCTTAAATGATGATCCTATCTTGGAAGCATCGGTACCGTAAAATGACAATTGGCCCTTTACATTAATTACAGATGTGTCTTTTTTAGGATAAGCACTCGGTGCATCGATTGAAAGCGGACGAGGCATACTTAGTTGGCAAAGGCCTACCACCTGTTGCTGCGTATCTCTCAATTGATCAAATAATTGACACGGCTCTAGAGGTAATTTTTTTAGTGTTTATAGCGGTATAACCTTTGACGAAAAATGCAATTTCTTTTTTTAGCACGGTGTGGATGCTATCCATCCTGGTTATGGTTTCTTGTCTGAGCGAGCTGATTTCGCACGGGCCTGTAATCAAGCGGGAATATGTTTCATTGGCCCTAGTCCAGATGTCATTGCACGTATGGGAGACAAGGTATTTTTCCGAATATTGCTGTAAAATTAGAGGGATATCAATTACCTTGCGAACGTAGAACATGGTTAAGAATTTCGTCTTTGAGTTTTTAATTGCAATGCTTCTTTAAAACAGTAATTTATTCTAGGTAGCTGCCCGTCAAGCAGCTATTGAAGCTGGTGTGCAGGTGGTTCCTGGAACCTCTGGGCCAATCACTGCGGCCAAGGACGCGGTCGATTTCGCCGAACATTATGGAACACCCATCATCCTGAAAGCTGCTCACGGTGGTGGTGGACGCGGCATGCGCAGAGTTGACAAACTCGAAGAATTAAGTCTATATACTAATCTAATTAAGTATCTACATGTCTTCAAATCTGAATGAATCTAGCAAGGCAATCTTCAGTTAACACAAATACATGCCTGAGTGCGAATCAAATTATCGTCTCAGAAATGGCCCTATCACCTAACATTTACAATCTATCTCTTTTATACAATTGTTTCAGGTTGAAGACTCGTTCCAACGCGCGTTATCCGAAGCTCAAGCAGCTTTTGGAGATGGATCTCTATTCGTTGAGAAGTTCCTAGAACGCCCCCGACATATTGAAGTGCAACTTTTAGGTATGTTTGAAAGGTGTTCATTGGTTCCATAATTTTCTCTGTATCAACATATAAACAGCATGATGCAATGTTTTGCATATTAGGCAGTAGTAAGTAGAATCATTGTTAGTGAGGAGGGTTTACGTGCTAGCAGCACAGTCAAAATATTCGACAAACATGCAAGCCACAATGAATATTTGTATGTGAGCTTTCGTTTGTGCATAGGCCTGCTCAAACGTCTTCTTCGCATGGTTAACGTCACTGCCAGGAAAGTTGAATAAGCGCATGCGAATTATTCTGAAAAAGATCGTTAATTATCTCTAGTTACTTTATTATCTTCCATCTTACCTACACCCGTCGTGAGCTAGGAAAACGTGAAAAAAAAGAAGATTTGTAAAGGAGATTTCGTCGAGGCTTCATGCTTCCTCGTTCTAAGCTAGGCGCAATACAGCTAGGCTTCGCTTTAGGCGCAATACAGCTAAAACAGCCAATGTTTGAATACAAGATCAACCATATTACAAACAGAATTGGCTGACGTTGGCCCACTATGACACCTTCTTCTCTCACTACATAAAGATTGCAGTTGTAAAGTAAGATGTATCACGTTGAAAAAGTAGACTATGAATAGTCTTTCAATAATACCAAGGACCTATATTGGTTGTTTCAATCTCACCCACAAACACACACACACACACATACACACACACACACACACACACAC